GGAACAAGTGTCTTTGTTTAAAGTAAAAGAGCATCATTACTTTTATATAATAAAACAATAAATAATTAGGAAAGCAAATTAAACCTAATAAAGGATGTTTATTTTCTTATTAAAAATATGATCTCTACTTTGATTACATTCACGACATCGTAAAAGGAAATAATTTGTTTAAGAATGATTTCATAAAAAAAAATATATATTTCTTCTTTTGTCTTATTAAAATTTTTATTTTTTAATTTTCATAATCAAAATTTTTAACTTTAATTTATTGTTGATACTAATTTGAGCAAAAATGTTTTTAGAACTTTTCAAATATATAAATAATAAGTATTAAAAATAAGTAAATAAATTAACTATTAAAAAATAACTAAATAAATCAAAATTTGTTGTTGATAAACCAAATACTACTATAATTTGATTACATTTGAATTTTTAAAGTTAACTATTAAAACTAAATAAATAATAACTTAATAAATATATAGTGTTTTAAATATTTGACGAGTGTACGCCTCCATGCTTGATACGTCATCTTTAATATTATTAAAAGAATACGAGGGGTCAAAAAATGAAACAAATTTTGAAATAAATAAGTGATAAAAGTATTTCATTTTTACTTAAATATTATCGATTTACTTTTTGGAAAATGTTATTTATATCATATTAAAAGATACATTTTTGTACTAAATTCAAAATTATAAAAGATTTGTTAATTTTTTAAAATTAAATAAATATTAGTGTAAATTTTAAATTTGTATAGTTAAAGGATATTGTAAACACAAGTATCTAGACTAATGTAAATATGTTTAACTCTAATAAAGATCTATTTTGTGCCATTTTTACTTTTCAAGTTACTTCTTTTTGTTTTATTGTATAAATTTATTTATAGTTTTATATATAATTTCATTATTTTAGATTATTCAGATTATGAGTTTATTGTACAAGAGATCCTTAAATCATCACTCTTATTCTAAATTAATTCATATTCAAGCTATGACTCTAAATTGGTCCTTAAATTTTAAAGTATTCTATATCGACTTTTAAACCATCAGTATCATTCAATTTTGATCTCTTTATTAATTTATCGTTAGCTCTATTGGTTTTTGAATATTGTAAGAATTGAGCTCGTAACCTTCTAAATAATACAATTTATTTTTTAAAGTCTTGAAAATTCAACCCGCGATATTTTAAAAAGTTTAATCTATTTCTAAAGCTCCTTAGATTTTTTTAGATGTTGATACATGCTTCCTTGCTTCATTTGACTAGGCCATGCAAAAATGTCATTAAAATTTAAAATATATTTAGCGTTGTTTCGGCTGAAAAAATGCAGTTGATTTTTTTTTTGTTCGAATAGGGTACTCTCGAAATTATTTCGTGAAATAGAGTGAATGCCACAGTAAATCCGAAGACGCATTGGAGTCTAAGCGACTTACATATAAATTTTGGGTTTCTCCAATTGCATTGCTATGTAAATGCACAAAGGGTAAATTACACAATTAATAATTCAACTTTACTCTCTCCAAATTCACTCACTGTACTTTTAATTTTTCAATTTAATCACTCAACTTTTATTTTACTCCTATTTTGATCACTCTACAATGACATAGATTGTTTTACTCATATTTTGATCACTCAACGACCATTGTTCAAGTTGTTATATGGAAGCCAATTTGATCCATCAGCTCTAGCATTGAATTTGTGTACTAAAGAAACCAACATCGTACTCACATAACTTCTAATTGAAATTGGGTTTAGGTGAGAGTTATGACCCCCAATAATTTAGGGTATAATAAAAATAAATTAATTAAATGCAACTACACTATTTTGGACAACAATTTCAATTAGAAATTATGTAAGCACGATGTTGGTTTCTTTAGTACACAAATTCAATGCTTGGACTCCAAAAAAATTACCCTTTGTACATTTATGAAAAAGTGAAAAAAACTACCCTTTAGTACACAAGTTGAGTGATTAAATTAAAAAAATTAAAAGTACAATGAGTAAATTTGGAGAGAGTAAAATTGAATGATTAATTACGTAATTTACCCTTTGTACATTTAGTGAAAAAGTGAAAAAAAAATATGGGAGTCACATTACACTCCATGCGTCTCCCATATTTTTTTCACTTTTTCATCAATGTACAAATGTTAAATTACATAATTAATCATTCAACTTTACTATCTCTCCAAATTCATTCACTTTACTTTTAATTTTTTTAATTTAATCACTCAACTTTTGTTTTACTCATATTTTGATCACTCAACGACCATTGTTCAAGTTGTTATATGGAAACCAATTTGATCCATCAGCTCTAGCATTGAATTTGTGTACTAAAGAAACTAGCATCATGCTCACATAATTTCTAATTGAAATTGGGTTTAGGTGGGAGTTATGACCCCCCACTAATTTAGGGTATAATAAAAATAAATTAATTAAATGCAACTGTACTGTTTTGGATAACAATTTCAACTAGAAATTATGTAATCACGATGTTTGTTTCTTTAGTACACAAATTCAATGCTAGAGCTAATGGATCAAATTGGCTTTCATATAACAACTTGAACAATGGTCGTTGAGTGATCAAAATAGGAGTAAAACAATCCATGTCATTGTAGAGTGATCAAAATAGGAGTAAAATAAAAGTTGAGTGATTAAATTGAAAAAAATTAAAAGTACAGTGAGTGAATTTGGAGAGAGAGTAAAGTTGAATGATTAATTGTGTAATTTACCCTTTATACATTTACATAGCAATGAAATTGGTGAAAAAACAATTTATATGTAAGTCGCTTGGACTCCAATGCGTCTTCGGGTTTACTGTAGCATTCATTATATTTCATGAAATAATTTCGAGAATGCCCTATTCAAACAATTTTTTTTTCAACTGTATTATTTGAGAAATTCAACCAAGACGTTCAAACTTTTGGAGAAAAAAATAGTGTAGTCCATAAGCTTTTTTTAGACTTAATATGACCCTTCAACTAATTTGATGTGATATTTTAATTGCGATAGTGCATTATGAATATGATATGGTAGATGAATTTAAATGATTTTGGTTAAATTTGAGAACCTAATTAATTTTTTTAGAAAGCTTAAGGATTTATTAATTCTAAAAAAATAAGAAAATATTTAAATTTAAAATATAAACTATTTTTAATATATTTAATACATAAAATATAAAATACTATAAAAATTAAATTATCAAAATAATTTAGTTTAAGAACCACATTAATTTTTTTGCAAAAATTTAAAGGTAAGTCAAAAGATTATTGTTAGAAATATTTATACTCTGTAAGTTAAGTTTAAAATTTGTATCTTGTGTTTTCTTATTTTCTAAATTGTCAAAACAATTTTAATGAAAAATATTTATTTTTTTATATTTTTATATTTTTACTTATTTTTATTTTCAAAAATTATTTTTCAATTTTACAAATAAACACGTTTTATCTAATATGTTTTATTTTTAAAAATAAAAATGAAAATAAAAACAAGATATATTTTATAGAACTAAACATTCCCTAAGTTTATTTTTACCTAGTAGCTTTAGTGGTCCCTAGTTTTGATGTTTTGGGGAGTGGGGCAGGCGAAGTTGAGGAAGGGATGAAAATGAAAACGACAAAACATTTGAGAAAAAAATAGCGAAAGCGAGAGAGTGACGTAATACGTTGAGTAAAGAGTAATCGAAACCGTTGATTCTCTCTTTTTTCTCTTTCGGGATATAATATGTAAAGAAAAAAAATTATCGTTTTAGAAGTATTTTAAGAAACTAAAATATAGAGTTGGGGAAGTTTCTATTAAAGTCTTACTTGCATTCATGGCGCGTGGGTCGATCATACTCACATCTTTTCTTTGTTTTCTTTAATGATTTACACTGTACACACAATATTCAAACAAAGAATTTTGTTATCTTTAAACATTCTTTAAATTCAATATATATATATATATTTATTTATTTTTTTTATTAAGACAAACAAGATATTATTTATATTCAAAGTTCTTTCTATAGATTATTAGTTATTTTGAATTAATTACTCCCAATTAAGTAATCTTTGCTTGCAATCCAAGAAATAACCCCGAGATATTTTGTTTCTTCACCTTTGAACACATTTTGTTAGGGTAAAGTATGTTCATGACATCGTTTTTTTTTTTAAATATGTGAATTACATTGAGATTTGGTTTCTAGGTATTCATAGTCTCATATAAACTTTTATTATAATTAAATGCACAAATTAGTAATTTTTGTATTTTTTAAAATTGTTTTCATATTACTTGACAAATTTAATGAGACAACAAAGTGAGAAAATGAATTTTTTCATGTAGAGTGTTGTAAATTTTATTTTTTTCAAATAAGGTGAATGTTACAGTTTTAATAAAAAAAATCGCGTGAATCATATGACGTGTTTGAGAAGACACACACGAAAGACAAGATGGATATCCTCAACAGAAGACTGACGGAAGGCATATCGTTTCCTTGCATTAGCTTCCGTTCTTGTATTTTTCGTCTTCCCAAACTCCATCAATGGTGTCCGCTTGCTCCCACACTTTCTGACTACCCTAGTAAATACACTCTCAGCCAACTAAAAAAGTTAACTTTCAAACTGAATATAATAAATATATGAAAAATCATATTATAATGACTTTTTGAAAATCTTGTTCCCGAATACGAGAAAGGCTTCCCATTATTTCCGTTTTCGCCCTCTATTCTTTCTCAAATGACGAAATTGCCATTTCATTTCATATTTCACCTATTATTATTATTATTTTCAGAATTTGACAACACGCATTTTAGGCTTGCATGATAGAAAAATAGAATTTTTTATGCAAAATATACTTATTTTTTTAACAGAAGTATGTAAAATTAGAAATTTATTTTCACTAGAAAAATAACATGGCTCTTTGGTAGTTTTGAGTAAAAGTAAGTGGCAGATCCGTCAACGTGAGCACAACTATTAACCGGTAATAATTTCGAGCTTATTATATTAAGCAAATGGATCCGCTTGGACGGATATCCCTGAAACCTGCCGGTGTTTGTAATCTTTTTCTCAACAAAGAACAAAACTTTCCCTCATAAAATCTCACCATTTCTTCAAGCTTCTCTCTCTCTCTTTATTTTCCTTCAAAGATCAGACCTTTTGTAGCAACAGGACCAAATGGAATTTTCTGGACTTTCAAGGAAGCCTTGTTTCATTGAAGAAGATGATGGCTTGGCATCCCTAGCAGCTATGGAACCAAATGGGTTTTTTTCAACACCCTTTTGTTTCTCAAGGAGGAGTAGTTTAAGGAACCTGTCTTCTTCTTGTTTAGTTTCTTCTCCAGGGTCTGCCAGGTTTTTTGATGGCAGACTTGAAGACCGTCAGCCCCATTTCTTGGATGCTTGTTTCCTTTGCAAGAAATCTCTTAGGGGTAACAGCGACGTCTTCATGTACAGGCCAGTCCTTTTATCATATTTCTCAAATTCATATGTTAATCTAGATCGAAAGATGAAAACTTTAGAAAGATCCAATGAATTCTGTAGATTTGGTTGGTGATTGGTACTGTGTGTTGCAGAGGGGACACACCTTTCTGCAGTGAAGAGTGCAGGCAAGAACAAATCGATATGGATGAAGCCAAGGAAAAGAATCGGAACCTCAGTTCATCAATGAAAGCTTTGAGAAAGAAAGATCAAAGGAAATCTACATCTCCAACCAATTCTGAAGACTACCCTTTCCGAACAGGCACTGTTGCAGCTGCCTGAATCACCTAGCAAAGGAAATAAACAACATATACTTAATAAATAGCTAAGGAAGATGAAGAAGAAAGATGGCTATCTTGAGGGGGGGGGGTTTATCCCCCTTTTTCCCCTTCAAGAAAACAATATATGCTAAGATTTTAACCTTTGAATGTTATGCTAATGTGTGGTTTTTTTTTCCTTGGCAAATACTTGATGCATAAATGAAAAGAATGGTGTGAAAAGAAATGGTGAGAAGAGTGGTTTTTCTAGTCTCTTCTTGGTATATTTCTGTACTAAATTCCCCTTGTAAATGGGACTTACTTGGTAAAGATGTTTCCCTTGTGTTCATAAAAAGTGTTTTTCTTTGTCAGGTGAGAATTCTTCTTCTCTTTTGTCATCTTTTTGACTAAAATTGCATTAGAAATGTAACCCCAACTTTTTGACTATTTTGTTCCAAAAAGAAGAAATAAATTATTAGAAGTTTATAAAATATTCATACATTTTATCAGAATTAATACGAAAGTGCTATGCAATAAATTTGGTTCATTCATGAGAAAGCTAAGTCGATTTGTGTGACATAGAACACAATTTTCTTTTAAAATTGGGCCTTGTTATCAATATTAATTTTGTATCGATATTAGATTTTATCTCAAGTGTCTTAAATGAAAATTCAAAAGTAAATCTCTCTATATTTTTAAGCTAAATAATTTTAAAATTGAGATTCTCAGAATTTTTGAGATCTTGTTCTCTTATAGATTAGCACATCTAAAATTTTAAAGTATCTTATAATCTTTTTCTTTTTCTCCAATTTGAAGAAATTAAATTGTAGGTATTATATAAAGTTTGATTATAAATAAAGAATGTGTTGAACTATTTTGTTCTATGATATTTTTCTTTTAACAAATTAACAAAAATATCAAATCACCTCATGAATTTCGTGAAATATAAAAAAAAATCGATATACTTATCATAGATTCTTTCGATATTGCTCACGGTATTTAAGATAACATCAAGTCATAATATGAGTTTGTAAATATATCACATCTCCACCACCAGATTAGAATTAAATATAAAGATTAGATGATGCTAATTTCGATTGAAACAGAGTTTAAGCAGGATGAGAAGAAACTTTTTGAGCAAAACACTAGATATACTCTTCACGTGAAATTTGATGTTATTTTTCGACTCAAGGTATCTGTTGGAGTTAAAGATGAAATTAGAAGGATATCGCCCGCAACTCGTTCGTAGAGTCGAGCAAATTTGGATTTATTAAAAAATGATTATTTTAAATTAATTCAAAACTTAATTTATATTTTAAATCTAAATGAAGTTTACATTTTTAGAACTCAGATAATTGAATAATTAAAAGTTTAAACGATTTATTGATTAAATAATTTGACTCTATTTTCATGATTTGATCTATAATTCTATTGTTTCTTCAATGTTTTTATTTTAAAGCTATTGTTTATTAAATTAGAATCAAAATCAGGATAGGAGTGCATATGTAATTTTAATTTTTAACAATAAATATATTATTTTTATACTTAATCTCTTAATTTTATATTTTATTCAATTTAATCCATAACTTTTTTGTACTCCTAAAATTAATTTATCCACAAAACATCTTCTTAGTATAAACATATTATACAATTTTAAATATTTTTTATTTATTAATAATATAAAATTTATATGTATAATTAATTAATATTAAATTTAAATAAAAATTAAACAAATGGAATTTAAATTTTATAAACTCAACATTCCTAAAATTTTTAAATAATAAAATAGTATTTAGTTGCTCCAGCTCATTTTATGATTGTAGTGTATATTTTTGTAACATCGTCGGCGTATACTTTATTATCACTCGTCAAACAATGCCATTCATATTTGAAAATCCCTTATTATCTCTCCAAGATTTAGTAATGGATCGATTTCGTGAGTAGAGATTGTTGCATGTTATACTAACCATTGGTAAACTTAAATCTCTCATTCCTCCCCCCCACCCCCAATTTTATTATAGCTTAAGCTGTCAAATTTTGACAACTTTTAAGGCAAAAGTTTTTCGGAATAAATCAAAATATGGTTTAATCAGTTGTCAGCTCTACCAAGTAAGAGTTCCGATGCAGAAATTCAAAATTAAGAATTGAAATTTATCGTAATTGGTTTAAAAACATACGAAAAAGAGCCTGAAACACTGCTGCTGCCCAACTATACCCATCATTTGATGAAAGCATTGCTTCCATAATACAAGATAGGCAAAAACAGTTTTATGTCATGGCTTCTGGATCTTAAACCCAAATACTCTTGGAACATAGCTTTGAGATGCTTTTTGTGGCTTCAGGTGTTGGTATGTCATCAAAAACAGGTTTGGAAATGTCGTCCCGAAGTACGCTCCGTCAGTGTCTACATACAATTAAGGTAAAATCGTTACTTAATGCAGAGGAATGTACAAAAAGATGATTCATATCATAAAATATGATATCTTCCCCCAACAAAATTCATACAACAAATAAGTTCAATGGCCAAAAGGATACTGCCTTGGTACTTGGAGCGAGGGTAGTAGATATCTTCACATCTAGGGCAGTATAATTTTACGGTGCTTGTCCGAGGAATATCTGATTGACCAACCGGAAGACAAGGTTGTCCACAGCAGTAAACTCTAGGGCATCTTCCGAAATCATAGCTCTTGTACTTGTCTAGCTGTAATAATTCAAATATATATATATAGTTGCATTCAGTTGACCAACTTTACATGTATATGAAACCATCAAACTATAACATTCAATATCATGGCAAACATCTCACCATTGCAGCAATTCCTTTGCTTGTCAATATGTATCGGGAATGAATCAGACCATATAGCATCTCTGCCGCAGATTCAACTAATTCATTTTGCTCCTCCGTAAACATATCTCCTATCAAATGTCAGTCCAACACAAATTACTAATTGCTAGACGCCGGGGGAGGGGGGAACTTCCCATGTTGCTAGGTGGCATAAATAATACAGAGAAAATTCAAGATTTCACCGACAACAAGATTTAAAGCAATTATTAGAACAAGAAAATGACAAAGAAAGATATCAACAGGAACAAAAAGGAAAACACTTCGCAACATCCTAACAACTTGACATTAGAAGAAATAAATTGTAAGCTTACCATGAGAAGATTCAACATCCAAAATCAAATCAAGTGCATAATCATAATAAGGAACTTGACTGCTTAGTCCACAAAGGTTAAAATCATCTTGTATGTAGTCTTCATCAACTTCGCAAAAGAACTCATTTCCACGGAGATTGCAAAACCAAGAGATCCAAGACGTGTCATCCCCATCAGAACCGCTAACATCAGACTCTTCACTGTCAGTTTCAGATTCATCTGCAGTAAATGGAATCAAATTTGTATCAGTGCAAAGCATCACCACCAAATACAAAAAGTTAACAACCCTCGCATCGAAAACATGGTTCTTAGATGGGTAAACTGGATGAGCAACTATGAAGTAAAATTTTAGAAAGTTGAATACGTGGAAGGTAACAACGCAAACCCAAAAAGGTAACAACCCTCACTTCGGAAGGAGGGTAATCACTGGCTGAGCAACTATGGAGCAAAATTCTAGAAAGATGAATACATGGAAGGTTCATAAAACATTAAGGATATGATTTCATTTGATACTGAAAAATGAGGGAACATAGAAAGGCTTAAGACAAACTTAGTTTGCATGACATTTAACAACACTTATTCATATGGCAATAACTATATATACACATCACACCAGACACTTCAAAAATCTAAATTAAAAGCGTTTGCATGACAAAGTATGCATTTCCCTCCTGTTTAATGATAGAAAAGCACACCCAGTTGAAAGTTAAGTGTCATTGTGGGCAATGCCAAAATAAATCTTTGATCTTTATTATATTGTTTTCTCATTATTTGTCAACCATTGGCATCGAAATACATCTAGTGTAATTTGTTTTTAATAACATTCATATTAATTAAGAATAGAAATTCATTTTCTTATTTATATCCAATTTCGATTGTGTAAATTTCATATTAATGGCAATAAAAGAAAATATAATTGCATTAGAGATCAAATATACTCAAATAGTGGGGGAAAAATAAAACTACGAAATAGTAATGTCTAACCTAGACAAAATCATTTCTACAAATAATAATAATAATAACAATAAACTAGACAAAATCAATTAATGATGAAACCCCCCTAAATTTATCGTATTTCCTCATATGAAACGAGATAAATAAAAAACCAATATTTTTATAAATTATTTATCTAAAGAGGGAGATGTTGTTATGTTTATACCACCGGAGTCGTTAGCTTTGGGGAGAGAAGCAGAGCGAGAGTCATGATACTGATCCTTGCCGTTGATCGCTCTCGAAGTAGACGGCGACGACCGTTCCAGTTGCTTATCAAGCGCCTCGTTAATCCGCTTCCGATCCACCGACCCCACCTCTCCCTTGGATCCACCGGCCGCTCTCTCTCTGTACATCTCCTCTTTCGTTTGCTGCTAATAAGAATCCGCCTCCTTTATCGCCGATTTATAGCGTGGAATAACAGAAATGACCCTAGATCCTCCAAAATCTAAGGTTTTCTCTTGTTCTTTTTTGTTTCTGTTTTAAATTTAATGGAGCTAAGAGATAAAGCTAACCCATTTTTTTTTAAGATTTTTTTTTTCGCTGGATTCTTTTGGGTTTTCACTGTATCTAGCTGGGTTGTGTTGAGGAATAAACAGAGGGGAGGGGGAAATCCGAGAGAGAGAAGGGTTAAAATGGGTAGAGAATTCTGAGGTTCCGGTGATAAGGCCGATAAATCAGAGGGGATAGCATTTAAAGGGTAGGGGCATTTATTGCGTGTTATTCTTCTATATTCTCTATGTTCATGATCTACACGTGTCGCTTGATCACTTCCTCCCATGTTAAACATCTTTCTTACTATGGAAAAAGGTTTAATTCCTCCTTATGTTCCTAAACTATTTTACGCCTCAACATAATTGTCTTATTAATTAATTTTTTTATAATTTTAAGGGTAAAACACATAAATGATTTCATGACTAGATGATACTGTTTTGTTGAATCTAATTACTATTAAAAATCATAAAATAGTCCTCTAACTATAAAGAGTTATTTTGTTGAGTCAATCGACTATTAAAAGTTAAAAAATGATTATATGATTATTCATTATGTTCAGAACTCGTCATTTTTCGTTAAAAAATTAACGACATTATGAGTTGAAAGTTAATTTACTGACTGAGATATGATAAAAATTGATCTCATGATCTCAAACGACTATCATATCTCAATCAGTATGTTAACGTCCAACTTATACGACCATTATTTTTAATGGAAAAAGACGAGTTTGGAACATAATAAATAGTCAGGTGACCATTTTGTAACTTTTAATAGCCAAGGGACACAACAAAGCAACTACTTATAATCGGGAGATAATTTTATAATCTTTACTAATCATGAACTAGCAAAATAATATCTTATAGTAGAGGGACCATTTGCGTACTTTAACCTAATCTTAATTGGTTTTATATTTAGAATACATAGATGAAAATTCAAATATACGAATACATATAATATGGACGCTTTAGACATAAAAGTATGTTTTAGACACCCTCCGAGTTATATTTAAACAACTAAATTGGTGGTTAAGCTTATAGAAGATATGATCGAATAATATTGATGATTTCAAGACTCAATTGAAATAATTTTGAAGTTTTTAAAATTTAGGTCATAATTTGAAGATGTGCTCTAATTAACAATAAAAGTAAAATTATGGTTTAAGTCTATCTAGTATATCATTACAATCAATTTTTAGGATTTGTAATTGTCACTCCTAATTTTATCTTCTTCGAGGTTTTAACATAAATTCTATTTTGGATGTAATATACCTTAGCATTGCATTCAACACTTGTTTGTAGTCCAACTGCACAACAAATTTGAGAACCTAAAGTCTCCAAGGAACTAAAAAGCTTAGAATGTGAACAAGCAAAACGATAAGAGAGGAAGACAAGGCAATAAAGAACAAGAGAGCTTTTTAGAGTAAATGCTTTGGTTACTCTGAATGAATAACAGGTGACTTGAGGAGTTCTATATTTATAATTGAGTCCCTTTATATCTATCAATCAGTATAAATCAAATTACATCAATGATTAAGATTTGACACTTATATGTAAGATAAAGTTACAAGAGAATTCAACCTTCACATTATCTCTTATAATCGACCGTGGATGCAAAGCATTTTCAGTGTCTATATTGAAATATAGATTTTTTTATATCAGTTATAAATTTTATTATTGGTGTCTACTTTGAATTTTTATTTTTGCTCACCCCATATGCAAAAATTCAATAACTAATATATGTGTCTACCCTAAAAAATATTTATGGATCCGTCACTATTTATCCTTAGAATATTTATCATCTTAATTAAAAAGTTACTAAGTTAATTTACTAAGTCAATCATACCTCTTATAAATGATCTCTTTAGTATTCTCTAATGATCGAACCAAGTTAGATGGTCGAATCAAGCCTAGTATGTTACAAAGAACCTCTTGAAAAACTATTTTTACATCTGTCTTAAGCCTTATCCTACGATTTTTGACATTCTCACCCATCGAATCTAACGATGCTCTCGTCACATCCTCCTCAATACCTTGGCTTGCTCCCAACACTCTACCATGTTAGTTTATCCCCTCCATCGAACTATTCAACTAGGCATATACCTCAATGTAAACTTCATCATTTGTAAGAACCCCATCCTATTAGTTGTGATTTGTCTAAGTTCAAACTCTCTCAAGAAAAGGAATAAAGAGTAAAGTAACTCGATCAAGGAAATTTAACCCAAGTATAAAATTATAGTCATCTAAATGGATTACCTCAAAGTTTTTCTTACCTTTTCATTCATCAATATGCAGCTCCGCACCTTGTGCTACTCCCACACTTAGAACTTCCTTAGAATCTTTGGTCTTCATCCTTCCAATTGAACCATCAATCTTGAGATTGAGTTTAAAGTTCTAATAATAATAAAGTTTAGGTCAAGGGTGGATCCCCAGTCAAGCGTCAAGGTATACCTAAGATCCAATTGTGATTTACATAGGACTTTACAGATTGTCCACCAAGAGTGACGGTGATGTGATTTACATAAGGCATACCTAAAGTACATCAAATTCATATTTAATATATAGTATTCTAGTCATGATATTTATTTATTTATTATTTTTCATATTTTTTTTAACATTCTAACAAATAGTTTTTGTTTAAAGCATATCTGAAAATCAAACTATTGAAAATATTTATCAAACAAAGTCTTAATTATTAAACTGATCAATTGATTCAATTTTTCAACAAATTATCAAACAAAGTCATAATTAATATTGAAATTAAGAAATCTGTGTATCAGGTGTCCATCGTTCAATGTTTCAAAAACCTTGGAAGTTCTAAAAGTTTTCTTCGCACCTCTAACACCCTTCGGTCCATCCATGAGTAGGTTGCTTTAAGACCTGGCCATTGTTTTGATCCATTGACCCACATGCTAAAGAGTACACGATAGACGAGTCTCAAGTTCTCCCACGTGAAATGAGCTACTCTTGAAGATAATCTGTCTCGTTTATTCATGGAAATAGCTTCTCATCATCAATGCCATGGAGATATTGTCCTCAATCCATGATTTAAAAGGTCTTTGTTCACCTTGCAATTTGAGCATTCCCATTTTAGGTACTTGCAACGTGGATATATAGATGCTTGCGCAATATAAATTGCACATATCGCTGCCTAAAATTTTGTTTCCTTAATATAAAATCTTTTGTTTGTTCCTGAGTGTATGAAAGTGATTTTGTTTAAATAGGAGTGTGTGGGTAAAAAAATGAGTTAAACCTGTAATCTATGAACTTACTTAAATGTGGCTGATAGTATCACTCCCTCGTTAATTAAGTGATATCAACACTTTTTATCTAAGATCCAAATTATGTTCTTCTCCTAATTATAAAAATAAAAGAAAATTTTCTTTAATATTTAATTGAATAATTATTTTTATTTTTTGAGCATTTTAGTTCTAATATTTTATTTTAGAGTAAAATGGCCTCTGGTTGAATAATTTTTGTTGTTGCTGAAGTAAAGCTGTCATGACTTTTCGACATGTGATATATGTCATATCTTGACTTTTTGACATATTGTATGTGTCATACCATCACTTTCGACATGTGACATATTTTACATTATCATTTTCGACACGTGATATGTACTACATCATCACTTTCAACATATAATGTGTCATGTTATCACTCTTCAACAATTGACATGTATCACATTAGTACTTCTGATATATGACATGTACAATATTACTTTAGAGGTGTGACAATCCCACGTCAGCTACATGTATTGATTAGTAATCAATTAACGATTCCCATTTAATTTAGAGTATTTTACCTTAAAATAAAATGTTGACATCAAAATGTTAAAAAAAAAATTTGTTATAAAAATAGAACTTAAAATAATTATTTTATCAAAACATTAGATAAATTCGGAATTAAAAAAATGAGATTGATTTTTTTTATAAAAAAATTGGAGACAGTTAAACATGACAAACCAATGTTTTTTTAAAGGTCTTATACAAGTAGAATATGTCGTTACAACGGAGCAGCTAGCTGACATAATGAAGAAGGCCTTGGGTTAGTCAGTAGCATGAGTTGATTACTGTTATTACTGTTAGTTTCTTGTTGGTGTTATTTCAGTTAGTTGTAGAAACAGTTAGTTTGATGTATAAATATAAACAACTGTAAATAATAATGATAAATGAGAATGAAATAATTTTCTGTGCATTTCTCTAATATTTTAACACTTCTTCCATTGTTCGTTATATCAGTTATAATTTCACATTTAAATTTTTCATTTTAGCATTTTTTTACATATCATCAATACTATTGAATTGTAAATTGTAAATAATTATTTATACAAAAATGTGGAAGAAGTGCAAATTCACTCGTAAAAATAAATGATAATGAAAAAATTATGATGTGAATGATTTTTATTGGTTAAAATTATGACTGACGTGATAAGGAGATTTTAATCATAATTTTCATTGCTTTACTATTTTTTCCATTATAGAAATTGAAAGTGATAATTATTTATTTTATAAATATTCAAGTACGGAATTAGAATAAAACATCCACAATGCCAAAAATTGACTCTAATATTTAACTGAATAATTATTTTAAATTCTATTCTTTTTTAGAGTATTTTGATATCTACATTCCATTTTAGTATATAAAGACTTTTAACGTTTAATTAAATAATTATATATTAATATTATACATTAAAAAAGAGTTCAAAATTTACCCTAAAATTATACATTAATTTTATCGGGTATTAATAATGTACATTAATTTCTATAATTTTATTTAAACATTTTAATTTTTTAAATTATACACCGTGATTTTAAATTTTTGGGTTCGCCAATGAGAAAAACTAGTGTAGTTCTATCTTAGTCATTGTAAAATATAGATGGAGATTTCCATCTAAGGCTTGAAAAAATAAAGTTGTAAATGTTAAACCTTGTGTTTGAAAGGCTCAATTCAAGTTAGTGAATTGAAAAAAATTTAGTGATGGAAAGCTAAAACAGTACAGGTAGACTTTGATTGATAAATTCGAATTGTACCAAAAGTATTTATTTTTTTTATCAAGCTTACACCGATTTTTCTAAAAGTCAATTCATCTTCTTTTTTACGATTATCAGTTGATCGATCAAGCTAACAATATAAAATTTGGAAAATGAAATAAAATTACTTGGGCAAAATCAATGGCAGATGCAAAGGCAGAGCCACATATTGAGAACCAATGGGTAGTTACAGGCAACAGTTGAAAGGTGTCAGAATCGTCTTTCGGGTGGGCCCGAAATTGGACTTCGACTTAGGTTAAATGAATTGGAGTCGCCACTGATAATTTAATTTAAAGAAAATGGGTTGATCAAATACCCTATTTAATTAAGAAAGTTGTAAGTTAAATTTAAAGGTAAAAATAAGATCCCAGTCACTTACCTCTGATTGGTGAAAATACCCTTAAAAGATTAAAGATGTTAGGCTTGTAGTGAAGTACATTATCAATGTAAGATAGAAATAATAAACAAAACACAAAAAGATCAAATAAGTAAAAACAAAATAATCAAATAAATAAGAAAACAAAATAAAATAAAAAAAATAAAATTATAGCAAATATAAAACGAAACATAAAACAAAAAACGGAATGAAATAGAAACATGAATAAAAGAAGAAAATAAAAAATGAGAAAAAGAATAAAGTGAAAATAATAAGAATTATAATAATAATAATAATAATAATAATAATAATAAAAAAAAAAGGTAAAATAGATACATAGATACATAGGAAAAATATAAGTAAACATAAATAAAATAAAATAAAATATTAAAAACATATATATATTTATTAATAAAAAAATAAAAAAAATGTATATATAAAACAAAATAAGTAATATAAAATAATAATAATAATAATAATAATACATAAAAGAAAGGGATCAAATCAGAAGGAAAAACAAATCGATGGGCCAATTTCGAAGCAAAAACATTGATTTAGGGGAAAAATTAAATAATTTTTTTAAAACACGAAAGCTTTTTGTATCTTGTTTTCAAAAATCAAGATGTTTTTTTTATAAAAAAGTGCCTCGGGGGCTAGATCTACGAGAGAAAATCTCGACCGAGCCTCTCCGTTCATCCGCAAAACCGCTCCTTTTGGGTTCTATTCGAATCAAAACAACGAGACCAAACCAATGATAGCCACATGCAAGTCAAATAAAACGCGAGAGAGAACAAAAAAGGTACCTTTATTTCGAATAAAGTTTCGAAATTTTACAGATTTTGCTCTTGATTTCCTTGAAGTTTCTCTTAATAATCTCTTGTATATTTTGTGTAAGTATTCACTGTGAAAATCATGTGTCCATTGTATGTTATTACAACTTATTTATAGTGCCTAATATCATATTTTTGGTGTTTGAATCCTAGTAGAACACTAACAATATTGTTGTGTTTGTTGGTGTCGTGGGTGCCGAGATCTTCGGCGTGGAACTCGGGTTGGAGGCGTGAGGATGGTGTCTGACCGAGCGGCTGGGATGCGTGAGTGGCGAGGAGACTATTGCGGCGCAGAAGAGAAAAGTTTAAAACCCTAATCTGCTCTAGGGTTTTAAACCGGTTTGGGTTTCCAGGACCGGGTTTGCTGAAATCCGGTTCACGTGCAATTGTGTAGTATTGGGCAGCTGAGTTTGGGTCACGCTGGGCTATGTTGATGTAGCATTTTATTTGGGCCTATAACATATAAAATAATATAATAAATGATATGTAATATATGCCGGTTATAATATATACACGTAAATATTATGAATGTAACGCATATATATTTGGATGAAATGGGGTGTCTACAAAAGGCTAATGTCAGAGCTTGAAACTTGACTCAAAGTTTGAATAGAATTACAGTTTAATTGGTTTGCCAATGCTTCTCCTTAGCCATTGTAAAATTACAGAATATCTAACAAAGCTATAAATTAGCTGATATAGATAGATAATTGTTATAACTATAAAAAAAATCACCCATATTTGATCATTTTTTGGGGTCATGGCTGTCAATTTATATGAAGTCAAAAGTAGAAGTAGTTAGTAATGAATTCATATGATTCATATGATCAACAAGTTAAAAAGAAGAACGATTTTTAGGTGACTAATCTGTTGATGAATTTAGATTGCATTCAGCAACTTCACTTTCATACAAGGCAGTCGTTTCAATTCAATGGGGTTCGGTTCATGATTTCTAGATGCAGTTTCGACTTGGTGCCAGAGAGAATGTTCACATGCATGATCAAAGGTAGTTTGAAAATGAAAAATACATGTATTGTAATGATCCTTCTTAAAATAATTTATAATTCTCGCATAAACAACAATTTACAATTCTTCATTGAGTCTGAAAAATTATCTACAATTGTTGCAGAAACAATAGCTCATCGTCAATGGCCTCCTCTACATTTCTCATATGTTTTACTGTTATTAACCTTGCATTTGCAGAGGCTAAGGTCTACATGGTTTTAATGGAGGATGAGCCTACTTTCTCTCTCTCAAACAAACAAAAATACCACAGGTGTCACTACAAACTTCTTTATGTATATTGTGTATACAATTACATACATATATACATATTAACTTCCCTATCCTTGCAGAGGTATTAGAGATTACTTTTCAATGTGTAGGGTTGACGATGATTACATTGTATACAAAGAGAAAATCCATAATAGTCACACCAGTTTCTTGGAATCTCACTTAAAAAAAGGATCCTATACCAAACTCTACAGCTATACTCATTTACTCAATGGCTTTGCAGTCCATGTTACTTCAGACGAGGTATACTCAAGTAGATGATATGGCTTTAGTCTACTATTATGACAATGATAAGATCTTTGACCATTTCAGGTTCTCAGCACCCTGCGAAATGCAACCGGGGTTCGGTTGATCCACGAAGATGTCAAAATCGAGAAGCTTACTACGCATACACCTGATTTTCTTGGAATCTCAACTCATGTGTGGCCAAGATTAGGAGGTGCGGAGAGTTCCGGTGAGGGTGTCGTAATAGGTTTCGTCGACACCGGGATAAATCCTGAGCATCCCAGTTTTATGACAAGTTCTTCTTCGAGGTTTCTGAATGGCACAAAGTTTAAAGGGAAATGCACTTCTGGGGAGAAATTCCCTTCAACAGCATGCAATGGGAAGATAGTAGGTGCTCAATATTTTGCACATGGAGCAATGGCTAATGGTGAGTTTAACTCCACTCGCGACGTCCCATCCCCGTATGACGCAGATGGCCATGGAAGGCAGGTTATATCTATACAATGATAAATTTAGAAGCTAACGGGTTTGGCTGATTTTTTTACTTCAAATTTCTGACTGTTTACCAACTTTAAGTTAACTGTTGTCGTTCTATCTGACAAATCATTATCTTTATGTGAAAAACAATTTATGTTTCCAGCCACACAGCATCCATAGCTGCAGGGAGCTCCAATGTTTCAGTGATTGTCAATGGCTTTGATTATGGTACTGCAAGTGGAATGGCTCCAGGAGCTAGGTAACTGATAGAAAGGAATTCGTGCATTATAGATATAGCATTTAGTGGTCTGATTGTTAACATCATATCCATATATATATATATATTTCCATAGGATTGCTGTGTATAAAGCTATTTATGCTTTTGGAGGGTACATGTCAGATGTTGTGGCTGCAGTTGATCAGGTTCAAGAATATAAGGCGAACTCTCTCTTTAAAATTTGCTTTACAAGATGGTTTCCACAGCATCTCTAAGACAACATTAACATGTATTCTTGTTAATTTAGGCAGTTGAAGATGGAGTTGATATACTTAGCCTCTCTGCTGGTCCATCTAGTGTTCCTTCTGGGGATTCTGCTTTCCTCAATGTTCTAGAACTGCAGCTCCTGTTTGCAATCAAAGCCGGTGTTTTAGTTGTTCAAGCTGCTGGAAATGGTGGCCCTTTTTCGAGTTCAGTCATTTCGTTTAGCCCTTGGATCACTAGTGTTGCTGCATCCATCACTGATCGCAAATATAACAATACCATCTTACTGGGAAATGGTCAAAACTTCAGTGGATCCGGCATTTCTCGTAATTTATATATGAAATACTTCAACTGTTCTTATAAAAGTCTCCTTTTACAATTGTTTTCAAAGTTTCTATAAGTTGAGCTTCAACTTTGCAGCTCCCACAGAAGGAGAAATTAATTACCAAGTGGCTGCAGCAGCTGATGTATGTGTGAGGACTGCTACCGCCATCACAATAGATTGCTGTCAAAATCCAGAACTTTTCATCCAAACTTTGGTCTACGGAAAGCTTATTATCTGCACATATACATTCGAATATGAATATGAGTCTGCGAGCATTGCAGCTGTTGCAGACAACATGAAGCAAATAGGAGCAGCAGGTTTTATAATCACATTGGATCCAAATTTAGGTTCTGTTGTAATCAATGGAACCATGGTGACCCTGCAGATCCCTGCCATTATCCTCAACAACATGCAAGCTTCGTCGGTGGGTTACTTTCCCTATGGATAGAATTATTTTCTTCAGGATTAATTGTTATTCATTCTTTTTGCACATCCTTATGATATACATTCATTCAGTATCGCCTGTTTTTCTCTTAGGCTTTATGGGAGTATTACAATTCGAATACTGTCAGGGACATGAGGGGACAGGCAATAATATTTGCTGCAAAAGCAAGAATATTAGATGGAAGGCAAGCATTTTATACGGGGAAGGCTCCGGTTGTGGCATCCTACTCTTCTCGAGGTCCCGATGTGCAAAATTCACTTATGCAAACTGCTGATGTCCTTAAACCAAATGTCATGGCCCCTGGCTCCTCTATTTGGGCTTCATGGAGTCCTGACAGTGAAGGAGATAAATACATCAAAGGTAAGACCACCTTTCAATTTTTGTTTTTGGGATCATTCCATTGAACTTATGACGAAGATTAGTTCATTCTTTGATGCAGGGCAAAATTTTGCACTTATATCTGGTACAAGCATGGCTACTCCTCATATTGCTGGCATAGCTGCTATGATCAAACAAAGACATCCTAAATGGGGTCCGGATGCTATCACATCTGCAATGATGACAACCGCGGATAGAACTGATCATTCGGGTGCTCCCATTCTAGCTGAATCGTTAAGCGAACTTACTGAAGCTACTCCATTTGATTTCGGGGCGGGTTCTATCAATGCATCTCAAGCCATCAAACCAGGGCTCATATTCAATGCCACTTTCAAACACTATGTTGAATTTCTTTGTGCTGTTCCAGGTCTGGATCGTGAGGCCGTGAAACGAGCAGTAGGGGTTAGTTGCTCAAGTAAAAGGAAGTTCAAGTGCTCGGATTTGAACACAGCAAGTGTAACAATCTCAAATTTAGTCGGGAAAAGAAAGGTGATTCGATATGTAAAAAACGTGAGTGACAAGGATAAATACACAGTACATATAAAGGAGCCATTAGGTGTAAACGTTACTGTAGTCCCAGAGACATTCAAAATCAAAAGGAGAGGTTCAAAGCGCCTACGGTTCTTATTTCAAGCGACTGAGACAACAAATGCTTACACATTTGGGGAAATGGTATTAAAGGGTAAGCAGCACACTGTTAGAGTGCCTTTAGCTGTTTATGTGGCTTCTGCCTCAAGTTCTTGATATTTTCATCTCCCCCTTCCCCCCCCCCCCTTTTCATTCAAGCAGATGATGCAATGTTTAACGTGCTTTTCAAGAAATCAACCCTTTATTTGTATGAGTTTGTTCATCACTTTCTTGTTCAAAAAAGAGTAAACACCATTTCTACACGCTGCAAATGAATAATGATTGATTTGTAAGTACAAATTTATGGTGATACATAATATGTATGCTCCTTTCAGTGAAGTTCTTTCCCTGTTTCAGACGAAGGATTTTTAGAAAAATACTGACAAATTAACAGTTTTCTATCACTGTGTGCTCATCTTTGACATGGATGAACAATATATTTATATATTGTTAATGATCTGTTGACTATATTCTTCTGACATCTTATGCATTAGCCTACAAGAAACCTCCTCATTATAAGTCAACATTGCAAATAATCTTGGCAGATTCATTCTAGTCAAAGTTCTCCCCATAAACTACTGCTTAATGGATGATCAGTTGCGGATTATGGCAGAAAATGGAGATATTGATGCATTGTACAGAAGGCTTGCCCAGAATCCATACCTATTGGATCGTATTGATCAGATACCGTTTATCGATACACCCTTGCACCAAGCTGCCAAGGCAGGCAAACCCCATTTTGCAATTGAAGTTGCAAATCTGAAACCATCACTTGGTTGGAAGCTAAACCAATGTGGGACTTAGTCCTCTTCATCTTGCTTTGCAGCACAATTGCAGTTTAATGGTTAGATGACTAATTGCCAACGATAGTCAGCTTATCCGAGTCAAAGGAAAAGGGTCGATTACACCTCTACACTATTTAGCCCAGATTGAAGATGCTGATCTTTTAGCTGAATTTTTATTTGCTTGTCCATCATCTATTGAAGACACCACAGTAAAGTTTGAGACTGCAGTGCACATTGCTGTGAAAAACCATTCGATTAGAGCTTTCAGAGTTCTTTTGGGATGGCTTAAACGAGTAGACAAAAAAGACATTCTGAATTGGAAGGATGAAGATGGTAACACTGTTGGTTTTTTGGCAAAAGTCCCACATTGGTTGTGTATAAGGAGGAGGGGAAATTCTTTTGTTATAAATAAAACCCTCCTCCTCCTTAGTTAATCATCCCACAAATATAAGCCTTCTTCTATTTTAAAGGCTATTTGTATTCTTTCTCTCTTTGTAATATTTCCTCTATTAGTGAAATATTTTGGTGTTCTCTTTTATGTCTATTTAATAGCTATTGTCGGATATAGTTGTTGTCAATTATTGTCCTATTAAAATTACTTGTCTTGGTAGTTCTGTCTAAGGAAAGTGGGTTTTAAGAGAGACCATTGTGACCCCTCCTCTTTCCTGGGAATCTACCTTGGGGTGATTTTTAGTACAATCGTTTTCACACTAGTCACCTAGATAATAGTTTTCACGGTGAATCTGTTATTGGTGGAAATTAACCCGAATTTCACAACAATTGGTATCAACGCTCTTGGTTTATTTTAGTATGCTCTGTGGTTGCGGCTTAGGCTGATCTTCCACATCAGAAAAATTTCCTTGGGATAATTGACATTCTGCATTGGCAGCTATTAAATAGAATTTGTAGCAGAAATGGCAGACACTTCTTCATCTTCAATTTTGGCAAGAAATGCTGTGACAAATGTTAGATTTGCAGTGGAGATTTTTGATGGCACCGGTCATTTCGGCATGTGGCAAAGCGAGGTTCTAGATGCCCTATTTCAGCAGGGTCTAGACATTGCTATTGAAGGAGAGAAACCAGATGATGTTGAGGAGAAAGAATGGAAGAGGATCAATAGAATGGCATGTGGTACTATTCGATCGTGTCTTTCTAGAGAGCAGAAGTATGCATTTTCTAAAGAAACTTCTGCAAGTAAATTGTGGAAGGCACTGGAGGAGAAATTTTTGAAGAAAAGCGGTCAGAACAAACTCTACATGAAAAAGAGACTGTTCCGCTTCAACTATGTACCAGGTACCACTATGAATGATCACATTACTAGCTTTAATCAGCTGGTGACTGATCTGATGAATATGGACGTGACTTTTGAAGACGAAGATCTGGCTCTGATATTGATGGGATCACTTCCTGATGAGTTTGAGTATCTTGAAACTACTCTACTTCATGGGAAGGTTGATGTGTCTCTCAGTGAAGTAACTGCTGCCTTGTATAGTTATGAATTGAGAAAGAAAGACAAACAAGAAAACACAAGTGTCGAAGCAGAAGCTCTTGTTGTTAGAGGCCGTTCCAAGAGTCAGAATAAAGGAAGCAGAGGGAGATCGAAGTCAAAGTCCAGATTGAGCAAAGATGAATGTGCTTTTTGTCGAGAAAAAGGGCACTGGAAGAAAGAATGTCCCAAGCTAAAGAATAAAGGCAAACCTGAAAGGGGGAAGGCTGTCTCAGAATCAGATGTGGTCGAGTATGATGATGGAGATTCAGATTTCGCATTCGCTGCTACGCCATCAACCAGCTGTTCCAGTTCATGGCTGTTAGATTCAGCTTGTAGCCACCATATGACCCCCAATAGAGAATGGTTCTTTGATTTTAAAGAACTAAAAGGTGGAATTGTCTACACAGTAAATAATTCCCCTCTTGACACACTTGGGATTGGTTCAATTCGCTTGAGGAATCAGGATGGATCAATCAGAACCTTAACATGTGTCCATTATGTACCAGATTTAATGAGAAATCTCATCTCTGTGGGAACCTTAGAGTCAAAAGGTTTAGAAGTGAGGGCAAAAGATGGGATTATGAGGATTATCTCTGGTGCACTGGTGATAATGAAGGGAATCCGAAAAAGAAACAATGTGTATTACTTTCTGGGTAGTACAATTGTTGGGACAGCAGTAGTGGCAGCTTCTACTGATGAACAGGAGTCAGAAGCAACCAGGTTATGTCATATGCGCTTGGGGCATGTTGGTGAAAAATCATTGAAATTACTGATAGATCAAGGATTATTGAAGGGTGCTCGGGCTTGCAAATTAGCTTTTTGTGAGCATTGCATCAAAGGGAAGAAGACGATGGTGAAATTTGGAACATCAATCCATGATACTAAAGGTATTTTGGATTATGTTCATTCAGATGTATGGGGGCCTTCCAAGACAACTTCATTGGGAGGAACACACTATTATGTCACCTTTGTTGATGATTTTTCCCGGAGAGTTTGGGTGTATCCAATGAAGACAAAGGATGAGGTGCTAGGATTTTTCCTTAAATGGAAAAAGATGATGGAGACTCAAACAGGCAGAAAAATCAAGCGTCTCCGTACAGACAATGGTGGAGAGTACAAAAATGATCCATTTCTGAAAGTCTGTGAAGAGGAAGGTATTGTTAGGCACTTCACTGTCAGAGGTACACCACAACAGAATGGAGTGGCAGAGCGTATGAACCGGACATTAGTGGAGAAGGTTCGGTGTATGTTGTCTAATGCTGGGTTAGGCAAAGAATTTTGGGCTGAGGCTTTGGTCTATGCTTGTCACCTTGTCAACCGCTTACCATCGACTGCTATTGGTGGTAAAACACCATTAGAGAAATGGTTTGGAGTACCTGCTATAGATTATGATTCCTTACATGTGTTTGGTTCCACTGTATACTACCATGTTAAGGAGTCAAAGCTGGATCCAAGAGCAAAGAAGGCGATTTTTATGGGGATCACCTCTGGTGTGAAAGGCTATCGTCTTTGGTGTCCAGAAACAAAGAAAATAATCTTCAGCAGGGATGTTACCTTTGATGAATCTACCATGTTGAGAAAGGTGACTTCAGAAAAATTGGAGCAGACAGATGGAACTCCCAAAAAGGTGGAGTTTGAAGGAAGCAAATTTGTCCCAACCAGTAAAGAAAATGATGTTGACTCTCCTATGGTAGAAGAAGAGTCAGATGAAGAAGAGGTTCAGACCCAAGAACCTCCACAGCAACATGAATCAATTGCAATCAGAAAGGGAAAGAGGACCATTAGACAACCTGCTCGTTATGCTGATATGGTCTCTTTTGCATCACCAATTGCAATTGATGACGTTCCTGCCACTTTTAATGAAGCAGTTCAAAGTTCAGAACATAAAAAGTGGAGGATTGCCATGAATGAAGAAATGCAATCCCTTCAAAAGAATCAGACGTGGAAACTAGCTAGTCTTCCGAAGGGAAAGAAGGCAATTGGGTGCAAGTGGGTATATGCAAAGAAAGATGGATTTCCTGACAAGAATAACATCCGCTACAAAGCAAGATTGGTGGCTAAAGGCTACGCTCAAACGGAGGGAGTTGATTATAATGAAGTATTTTCTCCAGTTGTAAAACATTCCTCCATCAGAATTTTGTTGGCTTTGGTAGCACAGTTGGATTTGGAACTAGTTCAGATGGATGTAAAAACTGCATTTTTACATGGAGACTTGGATGAGGAAATCTACATGACTCAGCCAGATGGATTCAAAGTTGCTGAAAAAGAAGAGATGGTGTGCAAATTAGAAAAATCGCTGTACGGATTGAAGCAATCTCCAAGGCAGTGGTACAAGCGATTTGACAAGTTTATGATAGGGCAGAAGTACACAAGAAGCAAATATGATCATTGTGTGTATTTACGCGAGCTAGAAGACGGATCCTATATATATCTTCTTCTTTATGTTGATGATATGCTGATAGCTTCCAGGAGTCAGACAGAAATTGCGAAACTAAAGACTCAATTGAACAGGGAGTTTGAGATGAAGGATCTTGGTGAAGCGAAGAAGATTCTAGGCATGGAGATATCAAGGGATAAGAAATTGGGGAGGCTTTGTTTGTCTCAGAAAGAATATCTGAGGAAGGTACTAAAACGTTTTGGCATAAATGAGATGTCAAAACCAGTTAGTACACCTCTTGCTCCTCATTTCAAGCTCGGTGCATCCATGTCACCTAAGGATGATGCAGAACGGGAATACATGTCAAAGGTTCCGTATGCAAGTGATGTTGGTAGCTTGATGTATGCAATGGTGTGTACGAGACCCGATATTTCACAGGCAATTGGGGTTGTGAGCAGGTATATGCATGATCCTGGAAAGGAGCATTGGCAAGCTGTGAAATGGATTATGCGGTATATTCTAAAC